ATCTTTTGTAGTTTTCAGTTTATCTTTGCTAATTATTTTGTGTGAAATCCTACAAATTGTTCCTCTGTCTTTTAACACTGATTCTTTGTTCAGAGCAATTTCAATTAAATTAGTTAGACTTTTGTTAATGTCCTCTTCACATAACCGTTCAAAAATTGGACCTTGTTTCAAACCTGTGACAAATTTGTCTTTGACTCTGTCTTCGATGTCTTTAAAATTGCAATCGGCAGCCATTTCTCTGACCCTTGCATACCATTTCGTTATACACTCCTCATCTTCTTGTTTTAATTTATCAAATTCTGTCCTTTTTCTAAAGTACGAAATTCTTGTTTTATACCGCAATTTGAGTGCTTCTTCTAATTCTTTGTAGGTTTTCGTTTTGGGTAATGCCGGGTGCACAATACTTTTTAGCACTTTATAGGTCTTTTCATCAATCATTGTTAACAATGTGGCTACTTGTTTGCTTTCATCCACTGTATTTGCCGTGAAAAATTGTTCTAACCTTTCAAGGAAGCAATCTATATCCTCACCCTCGGCAAAGGGTTTCAAAGTTAGCTTCGCCATTACGATTTTGAAAAACGACGCGTTGAAAAAAAATTTGCTCTTCTTACCAATTTAATACTCGTCGCCAGAAATGATGTGTCCTCTGTCCTTCAGAGACACAATGATCGCCGTGATCAATGAAAGATATAAAATTGTGATTCACTGCTCTTTATTAGTTTAATCACAAAATACATTAATTAACAAATGCACGCTTAGCGTCGTCAAAAATGGAGAAGAAGGAAGGCTGTGTTGCCATCATTCAAAAAGGTTTTTTTGAGATGCCATATAAAACATAGATAATACATTACACCGTCATAGGTCCCAATTCACATCAAAAAATTCCCTGTATTTTAACGAGTTACTCGAAGTTCTGTCGCCCTTCTATAATGATCGAGAAATTCCCCCGTAATCCTCTATTCCTAAATAGCTTTGAATCGTTGCTTTTTAACCCTAACATAGTACTGAATTTGGATATTGAAAAACATTCTCCCAGTGCAAACCAAGATTTAAATAAAGTAATTGCTAAAAACTGGCCTCATTGGCTTCTAATGTTTACGGATGCCTCAAAACTGTCAAATACGAGTAGTGTTGGTGCTGCAGTGTGGATACCTAAGTTTAGTATAGTATTAAGTTTTAAAGTTCCTTCACCCTCATCGGTCTTTACAGGTGAGGCAATAGCTATTCTAGAAGCAATCTTATATTGTGAATCTCACAACCTTAATGAAACTTTAATTTTATCTGATTCAATGAGTTGTCTTCAATCAATCTCTTCCAACCCTTTCAGGTCTAAATCTCGCTTTCCTATTATACTTAAAATCAGAGAAGCGTTATATAGATGTAGAAAGAAAAACATAGAACTAGTGTTGGCTTGGATCCCAGGCCACAGTGGCATAAAAGGCAATGATTCGGCGGATTCATGTGCTCGTACAGCAATATCTAGTGGTATTGCAAGCTATCCCAAACTACCATGTCAAGATTTTCTCCCTCTTACTCATTCTCATTTATATCAGTCGTGGGAAACACATTGGCAGAATACTCGAATAAAAACCGGTAAATATTATTACGACATCCAGCCAATAATTCCCTATAAACCTTGGTATCACCGTCGGAAAAATGTTCCAAAACAAGTGGTTTCAGCATTGTGTCGCCTCCGACTTGGACACTCTTGCGTACCTGTCCACTTAGCCAAAATTAAAGTTAAGGACAATTCCCTTTGTGAATGCGGACTGGATGAAGGATCAGTCGAACATGTGTTATTTGAATGCCCCAAACTTCGTTATTCCTTATATGATTCCCTTCCAAATGATATACCCCGGCCCCTAAATGTCAAAAATATCCTTCAACTAGTTAATTCACCTTTGCTAAGCATACTAATTAAATTTATATTAAATAACAAAATTAAATTGTAAAAGTCCTGCCTATTTAATCGGTATTCATAGGTGTATTTGTTGTGTTATGTCCTGCATGTCGTAAATGTATTGTATTTTGTTTCAGGATCGCTAAACTGTCATAGGAAGTGAATTAATTTTAATAAGCCTTTTCCAAAATTCTTTTTTTCTCATAAATATCCCTACCGTGTAATAGCTTTTCACGTGAAATTGGCAGAATTGTGCGAAACGCGCAGATAAGCCATTAATTAAAGAAGAAGAAGAAGCTTATATCTCTTTATATTAATTTATTTTTATTGTATTAATAAAACAATAAAAATAAATTATCTGTACATTAAATATATTTCCTTAAAATTGACTCAAAAATGTTGGTATTTTATGGTCTTTGAGGAGCAATGTGCAGTATGTGCAATCACTCCAACCGACGACAGAGTGTTAAAAAACTGTCTGAAACTGAAAAATATGATCGGTGCCAAATCTTTTGGTAATTAGTAATCGCCATCTTTCATTCATTTCATTTTCATTTTACATGTAGAAATTTATTTATTCACTTGACATTGGCAGAATTGTGCGAAATGCGCAGATAAGCCATTAATAAAAGTAGAAGAATTACAGTCTAGAATCAAATCAACTGAACGTGAAATTCTGACAAAGCGAGAGCCCAACTTAGTGATAATTTAAAAGCCTAAAATTTTTTAGCATATCGAGAAAAAATTCAGAAGAACATGCTCGGGTGATGTTTCATGGTGTGCTGGGTAAAAGTATTGCTTCAGAAGAAGAATTAATTTAGTCAGTACTTGAAGACCCGAATTTTATTCTGAGCAAAGGGCATATATGGTTGCAATGTTACAAATTACCCAATTGAATTTTTAAATTAACCCACAGAAAGTCTACCCGCTCACAAAATAAAGTTCAAAGTTTGCAACAGAATCAGGCTTAAGATTATGACTCTGCAGAGGAATATATTATCGAAGCAGAATTTCCGATCGACTGTGGTACAGGTAGAAATGGGCAAAGTGTTTCCGCCCGATATAAGATAGGGAAAAAACCCAGGCATTTTGAGAATAAATCTTATTTGCCCAATAAACGCCCGATAAATGCCCGATAGAAGGGCACAAAAATTATATTGTTTGAGAAAAGATCTTTAATAAATAAAGAACTATATAAATGATTTAGCTATTAATATTGAATTATTTTAAAAGGAATTAATATTTTACTATAGATTATTATGATGACGTAAATATGCTCGTAATCTATCTATATGCGAGTTATATATCGTTGTCGTAAAGCAAAAGGTCGATCAACCATCACGAAATCTCAGAAACTACAAGTCTAGCACTTGTAGTTTCAAATTTTGCACGCTGGTTCATTTTAAGACGTAGGTGCACACTATGACGGGATTTTATGTAATTCAACCACTAAGGGGAGGTATATTAGGGGATAAAAATTTATATGAAACTTCATTACTACAAGAGCTAGGAGTTTTATTGTATGCGGGTTCGTTTTAGGACGTAGATGCTCTCTAAGACGGGAATTTACGAAATTCGACAACCTCAGGAGGTAAATTAGGGGATGAAAGTTTCTATGGAATTTTCTCATTTCTGGACATAAAACTAGATCATGCGGGCGAAGCTAGGCTAGTCAATCTATATATAAAAAAGAACTTGTTCTGATTAATTGACTAATTCATCATAGCCAAACATAAACTATTGAAGTTGGACCTATGTCATCATTTTAGTATTTTGTGTCATTTACAATAAGAGAATTTCTGGAAATTCAACCTTTAAAGGGATGAAATAAGGGTTGAAAGTTTATATGGAAATCAGTCAGTCAGAGCTAATAAAGTTCAGTGAAGTAGTTTTTGAGCCGTTCTATGTTTACCTACATGAAAAATAACGAAGGAATTCTAGAACTTTGATTTTTTTTATACTTACTGAGAATGAAAATTGATATCCCATTATTTTTATCAATGAGGAAGTGTTAAAAAAAACGAAAGCACTAAAAAAGCACCTCCACTAGATGGCGGCTCTAGCAAAAGTAGATTTTTGCAGGAAACGAATGGACTAAAGACAGTCATTTTCGTTCCTTTTAACTAGCATATTAAAACATGAAAGAAAACCGGAAGGGTTGTCATGGAGAAATCAAGAACGTACCGTAGCCTAGCGATATCTAGTTTGATTTCGGGAACTAATGAAATGAAAACGAATTTTTCTTAAAATACTTCCTTAAATAATGTAGTCATATATTATGCCATAACAATATACTTATTGACATGACCTACATCGCACTGACGCAGGCATGCCATCTAATGGAAATTCCTATATCTGTCAGCGTTCTCACACAATATGACAAAAAAATTGGAGTGGGCTCTCTTTTCTCTAATATATACTTTTACTCATTGCTTTGTACTCTGTGATAGCGATGGGTCGTTATCCATTTTTCAAATCACGTAACGCAATCGCTATCAGATCGCCAATCACCGATATCAAAACTGTCTATTTTTGATAACTAGTTATTTCTACAACGCTAAAGTCAAACCGAATTTTACTCTTATGCTAACGCGATAAAGCTCAATTTTGGGTTAGTTACTTGATCACTCCGAAACCCGAATAACGTGAGCGTACTAGCATATACCTATTTCATTCACACGTATACTGACAACCTGTTTTTGTTTCATTCACACATGACAGATTGGATTGTTGGCGATCCACATTATTTAAACGCTCTACATTACGCGTTACATTCTATACCGTTATTAAAATTGCACTACATGGTCGTCAATGTAAAACGTTAATATATAAAGATGTCTACGTATCGCTGCGATCTGTGATCGCTGCTTCTTGGTGATCGATGCTACCTTGAAGCGAAGCAACCGACAATCAACGTAATGTCGTTTACATAAGAGTGAATTCGGTCTAACCTTAGAACGTTATGGATAATAGACAGTTATTGTAAACCTGTGATCGCTACTTCTTGGTGATCGTCAAATCAAAGATCGACCTTATGCTGTTGACATACAAGTGAATTTGGTTTAATTTTAGAACGTTATGGAAAATAGATAGTTATTGTATAACTGAATCACGAGTGATCGCGGTTCAGGCAGATCACTAGTTGAATAACTGTCTATCGCGAATAACGTCCATCGCTACTCTGTGATCTGTGCTGTCATTTTCATCTGACTTCATTCTGTTTTAGAAATAAAAGTTATTTAAAATCCTATTTACGGAAATAATTTATCAGCATGGCACAAACTGCTGGGGTAAAGCCCATGGCAATTGCTGGGCGTGTGGCATCGGAACGAGAGAGATGCCTGGGCATGACTGATGCGGAAAGAGCTTGGCGTAAGCAATGGTTAAAAGACCAAGTTTTGGCTTCAAATGAGCCAGTGTATGTAGAAGAATATTGGAGAGAACGTACCAATCCTATTCGCCGTCTATATCGCAAACCTTTGGATGTCCTTTTCACTAAACTTATGCCTGTTTTGGTAAGGTTACATAACCTTTTTATATTCGTACTGTTTATTCCAACTAGTAGATTGAACTTAAATATAGATTTTCCAAAGGATTTTATGATATATTGGAGGTTTTATTGGAGGTCTTCAAGGAGTAGTTGCATAAATAGATATAAAAATTATTTTAAAAAATATAGAAAACTTAGTAAATGTACTTTGTGTTTTTAGGGTCAAGAAAGAGCAAGCAATTATAGGTTTATAGTAGGCAAACTGGGAATGATTGCAGTGGGTATTCTCTCCATACAATATTATTTCAAATATAATGGCAATGTAAGTGGAAACTTATTATTCACTTTTAAGTCTCATTTTATTATCAGCAATGGATTAATTTATTTTTTGATGTTACTAGGATTGGACAAAGAAAGGAGGCTGGAGGGTTATGACAACTAAACCTATGGTCTTGCCAGGTCAACCAGGCTTCCCATTCAAATCTGAACGTTGTACAGACTCTGATTATGCTGAAAGAGGTTTCAAGAAGGCTACCATTTAGTTACTAGTTACCAAAAAAACTATTTAATTAAAAAGATTTGGAAAGAAGAAATTGTAAAAACAAAATAAACAGAGTTTAAATGTTGTAGTTTAAATAAATATACTCGTATACAAACAGTAAATAGTACATAACATAAATTTTATTCTTTCTATAATTTCAAAAGTACTATGCAAAATGAATCCCTTCTGCGTTGAAAGCATGTAACAATTTCATGAAATCATCTATGTCCATTGTCCTAGCTCTCATTTGATCAGCTTCGGCATTAATCAATATTTCCTGTACTTTCTGCTTTATATCAAAGTTTTCAGGTATATCCTGCCAAAAAAATAAAATAAAAAGGGCTCAGTTTGTTTAATAGGTATGGCTAAGTACATAATAAAAAAAAAACAATTTATATGATACTCACTTTGTTGTTAAGAGAACAGTGAACTCTATAATTTTTCTCTAGGACTGCCATTGTAGTAGCATGTTTAAATGCAGCTGCTAAAGTTTTATTCTTTCTCACAAATGCTATCCTGGTCAAACCATCCCATTCAATAAAGTTGATTGGTGGAGGTGGGTTTCTGGGTTCTATCCTAACAACACTAGATTCTACTTTAGGTGGTGGCTTGAAGTTATTTTTCCCAACCTGTCAATAAGAAAATAGGAGTAGAGTAATATGGCTGGACAGCTTTTTTAGAAATCCAAATAACACCTAGCAATTATGCACAATTGATTACATTGGGTGTAGCATATATAGGTATAAGTAGAAGCTTAATTATACTAATTAATAAACAGTATTGCTAGTGTTTCTTTCAAAACAACAGGCCGTACACCCAAAAGATGAGTGGATGATATTAGAAGATATACAAGTCGTAACTGGATGGAGAATGCTCAAAAACCACCAGATACAGAAGTAAATTGATCAGGCCTATGTCCAAAACTGGACACTGATGGGCTGATGATGATCAGAATAGATTAATTGCATAAATTCTATTAAGGTTTAATGAAGACTAAGTTCTAATTAATGTCAAATTTGTATCAGTAATGTTGCTTATTATTATAATTAATTTAAACTAATGACAATTTTAATGAAGTTCATAAAACATCAAAAGTTCAATTTTACATATTTTTATATGAAAAAAATATCAACCGAAACTGCATAGTTGCCAATACTATAATTGAGTTCATATTGATCTACTGTCTATTGATATCTTATTTTGTAATACTTAATACAAAAATAACAATGTAGCAAAATACTTACTTTCATTAACATGTCAACTCGAGCTAGCAACTGAGTATTAATAGACAATCTGCAATATAATTTATCTCCAGGTTTTGCTACTAATCTTTGTGCAAATTCTTGTTGAAACATGAGTACCGCACATCTAAAGAAAGGTCTATGTAGAAGTAATTTGAATACCAAGGGTGAACTAATTTGGTAAGGGATATTAGCAACGCAGATGTCAAAAAACGGCAATTCTGTTTTAAGTACATCTCCAACAAGTATTTGTAATTTAGCTTGATATGGTGTTCCTTGAACACGTTTTTGAAGCTCTGCCACTAATCTAAAATGAAAATAAGGGCTTAGTTTGACAACACTTACCAAAATTATTTATGTACACGCAGCTGCATGTTAGGCTACCATAACATATCAAATTTAATTAATTGGTTGCAACTCAACCAATATGTATTAAAGTTTTAAATCATGTGGAAAAAAAATTTAAACATGGTTTTGATACTTTGATTGTTTAGCCTGATGTGCTGTAGACCGTACATGTTAAAAAATACAACACCTTGTTACCTTGTGTCAATTTCACAGGCCACAACTTTTTTTACCCTGTCAAGTAACTTTATTGTCATGTTTCCCGTACCCGGACCGATTTCAAGAGCTACATCAGTAGGTCGCAATCCAGCTTTATCTAACATGGACGTTATTATAAGAGGGTTTTTCAAAATATGCTGTCCAAAGTCCTTATTAAATTGAATACCTAGAAATTAGAAATTCATCATGTTTTTTATTCTAATACTAAAATCAAAGAATGTATGTAATATAAAATATGAGAAAAAAACAATAATTATTTACAAAATATTAACTTGCCTTGTTTAACAACTTCATTATGAATTCTTGATTTCTTCTCTGTTTTAACTTTAGGCATTATAAAATAATGTCTTCACTTATTCAGAAACAATTTTCAACAACTCAAGTTACCTAATATAATTCACATCAAAATATAGTCATCCACAAAACAACATTCTATACCTGAAAAGCTCACATGCAAATTGCAGCGCAAGTAGTTTTTGTGATTTATACACTACGTAAAGAGGTTATAATACTTCTCTATGATATTATAGTACCACAGAACACAATGAGGAAGTATTTAAAAAACATTAGTTCCCGAAATCAAACTAGATGTCGGTACTTTCATAATCTATTTGTACTTTTTCGTATTTGTATTGGTATTTAATCTAAGTTTTGAACTTTGCAAATTTCAGTTTTTTAATATGTTAGTTTAAAAAAAAGGAAATTACTATCTTTGATCCATTCGTTTCCTGCAAAAATCTACTTTTGCTGCTAGAGTCACCATCTAGTGAGGTGCTTTTTAGTGCTTTCTTATTTTTTTTTTTACTTCCTCATTATAGTACTGTCAAATTTCTTGGTCCATGCGAGATTGATGTTTTAAAGTACCTAATTTACTTATTATTTATGTTACGCCAATGTAAGTAATTTGTATTCTCTGATATATGGTCAACAAGACTGAATTTGCCTTAACCCAAATATAGCTCTCATACATCTCTGTTTATTTACAAAAACCTTATCTTTATGCACAGAGTTGCCCCAAATCATAACATTATTACGTAATGTCGAATTATCCGTTATAGGCTACAATAGCAGCTTCTTTCAATACACTTTCACTAATATGCCTAAATGGGAATACAAAACTATTTAATTTTGAACAAATTAACATTGTTAACTTGTTCAAAATCAATAATGTTAATGTGTAACATCCAATCACAAAAACAGTCTAGTGTTATACCTAACAAATTATACATTTTACTGATTCTATTACTTGTCCTTTATTGTTTATATTAAGGCTCTGATTTACTCTTTATAAGTTCCAAACTGTTTATATTTTGTTTTCTCTATGTTATCTTCATACGTTTTGATACTTTGATTGTTTACCCTCTTAAAAATAATCAGCAAAAAAATACATTCCTCAACTATAAAATCTGGCAGATCATTTATGAAAAGTCTCACTTTATTAAAATGTTATTGTCGCCCTATTAGAAAGGAACAAATTGCTTCTGTACTTGATATCTCGCTCGGCCGTTCTACCCTCTTATAAATAAAAGCTTTATTTTTTTTTTATGGGACCAAAAGACTAATTTTTATATGGCAACTTATTCATTAAATTTTTGGCATGGTTGATCTTTACGGGACCGAGTGATATTTAACCGTTTTGTGTATCTAATTATTATGAAAATGGAGTGGAAACCAGAACAAGAAGGATTAAGACAAATACTAACGCTTCTTAAAGAGTCTCAGTCACCAGACACGGCGACTCAAAGAGCCGTTCAACAAGTATCCTTTTCACAATTTTCTATCATTGCATTTTATCGGCGTGGATCTCAGTGTTTATACATTTATCTCTTAACTAACTTACTTTTCAAGAAAATCTTTCTAGATTGATTTATTTATCTATAGTTTTGTAAATATATGTAAGTAATGGAAGTTAAGCGTCGCATCTCGACGCTTGCGATAGAATCGATTTTTCCGACATGACACTTATTGACAACCTCGTCGATAACTTTCCTAACAAATACTATCAGAAACTTGAAGAACTAAACAAATATCCGGATTTTAATAACTATTTGATATTTGTGCTCACTAAATTAGTAACTGAAGAAGAACCCACAAGGTCTCTGAGTGGGTTGATTTTGAAAAATAATGTGAAAGCCCATTATGACAGCTTTTTGCCAGAAGTAGCTGAATTTATAAAGCGAGAATGTTTATCTGCTATTGGAGATCCGTCACCTCTCATTCGTGCAACTGTTGGGATAATTATAACAACTATTGCAAGTAAAGGAGAACTGACCTCTTGGCCAGAACTTTTACCAGCATTGTGTCAAATGCTAGATTCACAAGATTACAATGTTTGTGAGGTAAGTAGTAAAGAAAGAAGAGAAATGCAGTATTTGTTTTGTTACAGGCATCTCTTAAGTAACAACATTATTTGTTAACAGGGGGCATTTGGAGCACTTCAGAAAATTTGTGAAGATACTGCTGAGATACTGGACAGCGATGCCTTAAATAGGCCTTTGAATGTTTTGATTCCAAAATTTTTACAGTTCTTTAGGCATTCATCACCTAAAATAAGATGTCATGCTATTGCTTGTGTTAATTATTTTATTATGGGTCGGACACAGGCACTCATGTTGCACATTGATGCTTTCATTGAGGTATGATTTATTACAAAATAAATGTGTTAAAATATTTTTGTCCATGAGTAATTAATGATTTTGGTTTTTAGAATCTGTTCCACTTGGCTGCTGATGAGGATCCAGATGTTAGAAAAAATGTTTGTCATGCTCTTGTGTTATTGCTGGAAGTGAGACTAGACAGATTAATACCACATCTGCCTAACATCATTGAAGTATGTATATAATATTGTTTTACATTTAAATATTTATTTTTAACTGTTTATGATATTTGTTGTTACACATTTAAATCATCTTTCAGTATATGTTGGTTCGTACACAAGATCCTGAAGAGGGTGCAGCATTAGAAGCCTGTGAGTTCTGGCTATCTCTAGCTGAGCAAAACATTTGTAGAGAGGTGAGTTGTTAATATGTTTGTCAAATTTTGTGTAAGATTTTTAATTGTTTATACAAAAATTGATAAATCTTTAAATAGAATTGCTAATTTACTTCAATCATAAAATTGTTACATTAAGAAAACAAGTTTTATTGCTTAATAGGGTATTCTTATAAAATAAATAAAAACAGCTACCATCTTCCTTTAAAGTAAGTCAATAGCATAGTTTTAAATATGTAAGAACCTCCTACTAAAGCTATTTTTTGCCAATCAGGTTGTCCTCCGACATAGGTTTACTCCTTGGTTCATCATTCATCTTTTTTCTGGATGTCTTTAATATACTATTACCAATAATCACACTTTCATGGCTTATTATATTTATAATATTGCTTAAATTAATTATGAAAAAACAAATATTTTATACTCATTGTCACCTGACCAGAGACAGAATGTGAGTATACACCCCTGTTACACGTATCAGGACTTTGAGTTTAGAACCTTATGCTTAATAGAACCATATTAGTTTCAGAGGGCTGTGATGTCATAATGACACCATGATAGAAGTTCATGTTTTCATGGGAATTTCGAAAGCTAAATTAATATTTCATTTTTAAACTTATTAAATGAATAATATTTTTTTTAGATATATTTTATGTATACCTATTTAATAAAAATATTAAAAAAAACTCTTCACCCCTATTGTTTAGAACAAGAACTAACTTTAATCTTGTTTTTTATTATGAGATGGTTTATGTAAATTTCTTTCTCTTCTGCTTCTTGTCAGCCAAAATAAGTCCTATATGAGAGTAGAAAAAAATTAGGATCATTCAAAATCTTTTCAATACCTTATTTGAACTAAGAATATGTTCATTTCATAACAGGCATTCTCTTTCACAGTTCGCTGTTATTTCTGTTCTAAATCTTCCTCTATTCTCCATAAAGATGAGAGTAGTTCAAAAACAAAACATAAATAGGTAATCATAATATATATTTTAATGTTGTTATAATGTACTTAGGACCTACATTCTTTATGATAGATATGACCACGGGGTGTCATATGAATGCTCTGGTCATTGAGTTCCCTTTGACGCTTTAGGTACTAGGACCACGGCTTCCAGCCCTACTGCCAGTGTTGGTGCGCGGCATGCGATACTCTGAGATGGCTGTAATTTTACTGCGGGGTGATCGAGACGATGACGCCGATGATGCAGAACCTGATCGTGAATCTGACATACGACCCCGCTTCCACAAGGCACGCACGCATACCATCAAACATAATGGTAATGAGTGAATAAATAGGACCTTTTTTATTCTTTTCTTGGTGTAAAATTAACTGTTATAAATTATTGACTCAGCGGGAGCGGGCGATAGTAATATGTCGGGCGGCGGCGAGTCAGACGACGAGGACGATGGCGGCGCGGACGCGGACGACGGCTCACTTTCCGACTGGAACCTGAGAAAGTGCAGCGCTGCCGCCCTTGACGTGCTCGCGAACGTGTTCGGCGCCGATCTCCTGCCAGTACTCTTTCCGATACTAAAAGAGACCCTCTTCCACGAAAATTGGGTTATAAAGGTATGTATATGAAACAAAGGCCAATTAGAGCATTCTTGACTGATTATTGTCCCCAATGAAGATAGTACATACAAAATAGATTTTTTTATATACATTGTGGGGGTACGGAAGTGCCCCCACCAAATTGATCAAAATGAGTATGGCTAAACCATTCTTCTCTGAAGTTATTTGAGCCATTTTTGACACCTTGTAATGATATTTTTTAAATAACTTCATATTTCATTTCTTTCATTGCGTTTCTTTTATTTTTAGCTTAGTAGAATTTAGCAAAGTTTTGGGGTCCTTTGATAATGGAATATTTTTACAGTAGTCTTAAATAACAGACAGAAAAAAGAACTTTAAGTACTTTATTTCTGTACCAAGTATGTGATTTTTAATAAAATACACTATGTTTGACAAGTATGAAATGTTATTGAGACATCTACAAATACTGCAATATTTACCATTCGAATTCAAAATCATCTTTGAATTTATAGTTAAGAGGTACATACAAATTATTACGAGCGGCAACGCAGCGGGGCGCGGAGTGTCATTAGATTTTTTATATTTCTTGAAATAAGGTTTACACGTAAAAATCATGATAGCAGTTCCTCATACTCATTATTTAACGCAATTACTTCACCAAAATGGCGCCCAGGTGCATTGACAATTTGCGAGGATTATATGTATGAAGAGAACAAACTCTAAATTATACTCTGGTAGTATGGTAGCAGTGGTTTATCTTGAATTATTTCTGTTTTTTGGAAACCAATGTAACATAAGCATGGGGGAGCTGAATTTTGCTTTTGTTGAAAATTATATGTACCAATGTTCATCATAAAAAAATATGGATCAAAACTCTCATTGTTAATATTCTTAATGAAAAATGTTTAAAAAATCTACTTTGTCCCTGGTACCTGGTAAGTGGTGTGTTTAAGCATTTTTTATTAAATATTTCAATCCATGTTCTTTTTTTTGTGTTGTTTATAGTCGTGTTTACCAACAGGAGAGCGGTATCCTTGCTCTGGGCGCGGTGGCCGACGGTTGTATGGGCGGGATGGTGCCGCACCTCCCGGACCTCGTGCCGTACTTGGTGTGTTGCCTCTCCGAGAGGAAGGCGCTCGTGCGCGCCATCACCTGCTGGACACTGTCGCGGTACTCGCACTGGATCGTGTCGCAGTCGCACGACTTGTATTTGAGACCCGTTATGACCGAGGTAAGTGTTAAACGATACGCTTGGATGCCTCATTGTTTGATTTTAAAATCTATTACGATCAGGCCTGGATTTACGATTCCTTGATGTAATGATGATTTCAGCGCTCACTTGCCGCCCCAAGAGGGCGGGGGCCCCCGCCCCTCTCCCTAGATGCGGGCCTGATCGCAATCCTTTTCAATTTGAAAGACATTCATGAATTTCATGCTACAAATATTTGACTTGTTATAGCCATTGCGATAGTGATGATTTTTTAAATGAACGACATCCTTAATTCGAATTGTCTATGGCAATCTTTCGACGTGTTAAACTATGTTTATATTATGTTTCTTGATCATTCATCTTCCGATGGACGATGGATTCCGAGGAAGCGATTAGGACTTTAAGCTTTATGTAATTCCATAAATAGCTATTACAAGCGCTATACCTTTGAAAGGGACTGTGATAGATTTTGCAATTTGTGGACATCTCGGTTCAACTATTTTATATATTAATTTATGCTGGTAATACTCTAGGCTATGATTTGCTGACACATTGTTTAATTTTTTAATTTTTAGCTTTTGAAACGTGTTTTGGATAACAACAAACGAGTACAAGAAGCTGCCTGTTCAGCATTCGCCACTCTCGAAGAAGAAGCTTGTACCGAACTAGTCCCATATTTAGGGTACATTCTGCAAACACTAGTGTATGCATTCAGTAAATACCAACACAAAAACTTGCTTATACTGTATGACGCGATCGGCACACTAGCGGACTCGGTTGGACATCACCTAAACAAGGAGGAATACATAAATCTATTAATGCCACCTCTAATTAACAAATGGAATGTGTTAAAAGATGAAGATAAGGACCTTTTTCCTTTACTAGAGGTTTGTATTTATAAAATTAAAATGTCAAAGTAAATTACGTTAATATTTAGTAAAGATCTAAGTTTACCTAATGTGGAAAAATTTAAATTCCAGTAAAACTGTAAGACCCTAATAACAATGCGATCTTAGAGACGCATATATTATGTCGTTCTTATTTATAATTTATATGTATTATCATTACTCGGTAACAGGATAAACTAAATAAAAATTTGATTAGCCTGTTTAGTAAAAAATTAAATAGCATTTCAACAAACTATAAAGAAATAAGGAAATTTTTATAATTATTATTTCTTATCTTGCAGTGTCTATCATCAGTAGCTTCAGCGTTACAATCAGGCTTCTTACCCTATTGTGAACCTGTGTTTAGAAGATGCGTCTCTTTGATTGAACAGACCTTAAATCAGACTATTGTAAGTATCAAAGTTCAATAAAAGTTAAATTAGAGATTTTCGCCAGTGCAGAGGTCCTAACAAACTCTTATTGTAAGAGATTCAATAAAGACCTTGTACATTCATAACATTTACTACGATCTTCTAAGTAAATAGAGATAAGAACTTACTTCTTTGACGCATTTTTCCAACTTATTTTGTATGCATAGCTTACAATATCGTGCCAAAAGACTTTGTTTCATAATTTTTTACTTTCAGTAATTGTGGGCATATGGAATAGCTAAAACTTGTTTTATTGTAGGCAAATAGCCAGAGTCCGGAACAGTTTGAGGCACCAGACAAAGACTTTATGATAGTCGCACTAGACTTGCTCAGTGGACTAACTGAAGGACTCGACGGCCACATAGATCATCTCGTACTCAACTCTAATCTCATGCAGCTGCTGTACCAGTGTATGCAAGACCCCATGCCAGAGGTGAGAGTTGTCCTAATTTGCTATAATACTACGGCCAAACGATACAATTCGTTGTACATTAGGTTTTGGGGAACTTACAGGTCCGACAATCATCGTTTGCGCTAATAGGGGACCTAACAAAGGCGTGCTTCCAGCACGTACACCCTTATATACCAGAGTTTCTGCCCATCCTGGCTATGAACCTTAACCCAGAAGTCATCTCTGTGTGTAACAATGCGACTTGGGCGATCGGCGCTATTAGCATCAAATTAGGTGAGTTTTAAACATAATTATAATTTATTATTTCTTGTTCTAATAGGAAAAAAATTGTGGAGAGGTCTACCTACCAATAAATTTTCAAAACTTACAATTACACATATTAAATAATGTTGCTTAACATATCATTCAAGATTACATTTTGCCCATGTTTCACCCTGAGCTGAGTCACTGAGTGAAATTGGAGTAGATAACCACATAGATAGAATATACCAGCTAATTACTAAGCACTTGTGATAGTTGAAAAATATGCTATCTGTTGATATATCTGCGGTGCGAGATTTTTTAAGGAGAATAGGCAAAAAACTAGGTGTTATATTCTCCTTGTTTTGTTTCATACTGAATTGTCACAGTGAAAAAATGAAAAATGTTTAAACAATTTGTTACAAAATTTTGGTAAGATTATTCAGTAGTTTTACAATAAAACTGTTTTGGGAAATCACCACTCTTCCATTTAGCGTGTTAATTGTAAATGAAAATAAAAGTATGAAGTCAGTTTTTTTTAATATGTTAACCAAGTATTTTCAATGTAATAAACTTAGTACTCTTGTAATGTTAAAATTAAAAATAAATTCTATTATTCAGCTAAATTGTGTATTACAATGGTCTTGCGATCTAGTCCTGAAATTTAACTTATTTTAAATTCAATGCTGATCACTCTTAGCATAACCTATGATAGGGATGATAACTAATTTTTGTATGTGTGTCTGTCTGGTTAATTAACGAATAATAAACACGTATATTTTGTTTTTGCGTAATCAATAAACAACGGCGATAAATAGAGTTAAAATGTCGCATGACATCGATAGTTGTGACGTAGCCTATCCTCAAATCCATCATAGTCAGTTCTCATTAAATTGAAGATTTTTATTTATATTTCTCATAAATAAGTTTTCTTTCTTTCTTTCATATATTTCAAACTTTCAGGTCCAGAAACATCAAAATATATACCTCTGGTTTTAAAACACTTAGTTGAGATCATCAATAGGCCTAATACTCCTAAAACGCTACTCGAGAACACAGGTAAGTGATGTAATTAGCATTTCAACAAAATACCTAAAAGTAAAGTACAATTTATTTTAGTTATTTATTGATAAAATCAAAATAATAGCCTAGAAATTTAAGCCAACAGTACCATTTGATGTTGGTGGCAAGTTATTGCTGTTAACATTACAATATTTATGTATATCTGTCACAGCTTTTTATTGATTTCTCATATAAAACATTGATCACATACCACATAAATATAATATTTTGTTTGTAATGTAAGTACTCGAATTTACAATAGAATGCGTGAGCGTTTCCTTTTTGTGAAACTTTATATGCACTGTATTTTAATTTCATCATAATACTAAATTGTACATGGTTATTATTTATATATAATTAGCTCGATGAGTAAAAGCCTCCCTGCATATTATTCAAATGTTTTCTTTCGAGAAAAACGCTAGTAATGTATTGGAATGAGGAGAATTTAAATTGTTGGCTTTTTAAATTCATTATTATTATTTATGGGGTGGAATGTAAGTATATATCCAACACTGACTGACTGTAGTGTCGACAGTAAAGTGTGCGCCTCTTGTAAAAGATGGTCTATAACTCCACGTGTTGCTGTTGTTGAATGCATGCACCTTATTTCAATTTGATATGCTAAATATGTTTGTTCGAGCATTATGTTCCTAAAACAATTTATACCATAGGCCATCTTTTGTGATGTCTTACATTTAATTTGATATAATCGATTAGCATAAAATTGTTTTAAATTTTTTCAATTTATAACACCGATTTGTTGCTGTTGAATTATGTACTTTGACTATGGTTTGAATGGTTTGTTGATTTGTTTTCTTGGTTTTGTTCTCGGTATATCGTGTCGTGGCGTGTAGCGATTACTCTCGGTCGGCTAGGTTATGTGTGCCCACACGACGTCGCACCCGTATTACATCAATTTGTACGCCAGTGGTCTGTAGTCATTTTTTTTATTATTACTTTATATTATTACGATTACGTTAATATTCAATAAGTTATATTTAGGTATTATTTCGATTGTGGATGGTGTTTGTTAACGGCTTGTTTTTTGTAATGTTCTTTTATACAATTTTTTGTTTGATTTTCGCATGAGATATACGTTACATGTACCGAGACGAAGGGCCACACTTTGTAATGTGATATATTAAATTATAGGGTGATATATTAGTTGATCATCTTATGTTCAGTGTCGTACTTTACGTATGTTGAACACCATCCGCTTTCTAAAATATATCATATATAAGTTATTTTTTTCTAACCAAACTGTAAAGCAAATGAATGTACAGTCGAAAAAGCATCAGGTTATATTTACATACAGGAACTTTGACATTCTGTGGTAACCTGAAGCTGTTGTGTGTACCATTTGCGTTTTGGTTCAGGCAACAATTATTTATACGCATTATTATGTTTTTTAAAAATATTATACACTTTATGTATGTAGAATTTGCTTACAGTTTGTAGTGCTGGTGGAATTTAGCGGTCTTTCAATTAACATTATGTTTGTGTGCCTCACTTTTAATTATCTTTACTAAGGTTCATATCATATTTTTTGTATAAATATATGTATATTATAATTAATATATATCCTCCATTAAATGTATGTGTTTGCTTATTTTTGTACATACATATATGACTTAAAATTTATCGAAACAAATTGTTGATATTTCATAAAAAAACAATTCTTCGAAATATCACGCAGTTTTGAGAGTACTCGGGCCGAACTCTTAAAATCGATATTCGTTATACCGCGAACTATTGAAAACATCTATCCTGTACCAACTTGAGTAGAACAGGTTAGGACGATGCACGCGATATATCGAGTATCGTTTTACGAGTACGCTCCCTATTCCGACCGTGACTCGACGTATATATTACCTTTATTCTATCGGTGCAGGTGTACATCGCTGCGGAACATCCGCGACAACGACGAGAAGGATTCCGCGTTCAGGGGCATCTGTCAGATGATCCACGTGAACCCCGAGGGCGTGGTGCCCGATTTCATGTACTTCTGCGACGCGGTCGCCTCCTGGTCGCACCCGAAGGAGGATCTGAAGGAGATGTTCACCAAGATCCTGCACGGGTTCAAGAACCAAGTGGGCGACGACAACTGGCGCAGATTCACCGATCAGTTCCCCGTGCAACTGAGCGCGCGCCTCTCCGCCATGTGCGGTATATAGACACTCTAGCTGCGTCACGGTCAGTACATCATACAATATTTGCTAGTTCTATATCATAGGGTAGTTTCGGTAGTGAAAAATAAAATTACGAAATTGCACAAGAAATGAAAATATCTTTATTCAAGTAGGCTATTACAAGCACTTTTGAATCATAAAAAAAAAAAAATTTTCACAAGCACTTTTGAGTCGTCCAAAAAAATTGATTATTTCCCCTACCACTTGTTCGGGAAGCGAAGGAAACTTACCAGCCCTTCATCATAAGTAATGACATTTACATAAATCATGTCATTACCAAAATAATATGTATTATCACAATAATAATTACAACTTTCAAAGTCTGTAGGACATAGGTTGAACATATAATTAGTCTTTATAGTACAAAGCGAAGGCTATTAATTGTAAGCATTGCGATCCTTAAAATAATCATCAACTTTATAATAGTCTTTACTCATAAGTATGTTCTTTACATGAATTTTAAATTTATTTATGGGTAGGTCAATAAAGTTTACCTCGAAATAAACATAAAGATTCTGATTTTGAGTTTGAAAATCGCACAATTATCTTATTATATTAAAATAAAAAGTCGCGATTCATTGTCTGTGTGCCTGACTTGAAACACTACCCGCTATTGTGTGACGACACTTCTTTAATTGATTTAATATGGTCTTAATCTTGATTTAATGATTAATATTAATTAAAAGATCAAACACAGTAGATGCCCTAAAGGTTATATTCTGTTACTTTACTGTTACCTTAAATGTACTCAAATGACGTTCCACCCTCTTTGAATATGTTTTGCCGAATAGTATTTTCACATCCATTCATTCCTATTGCTTCCTTTTTCTTATTTTTCCCTACTCCGCCCGAACTAGTTTGACGGAGCAGTCTGTGCTAGAGACGAAATCATCACCACCATAGGGAAGTTTCGGTAGTAAAAAAAGTCAAGAATTTGCACAAAACTGTAATTTACATCTATCTATATGTTTATTACATAGAGATTCTGATTTTGATAATTAAAATCGCAGGATTATCTTGTTATCTTAAGATTTAAAGTAGTTTTTTTTTAATAGGTGTCACGTGACTTGAAACATAACTGACCATTGTGTGACGCACTGTGGTGACAGCTGTCATAAAGATATGACCATTAATTTATAATTCAAAGTCATATATGGCGCTGTTCTTAGCTTATTTATATCTTTTTATTTCAGAATCGATCGTTAGATGGCACTGTTTTTGTTTTATTGACATCTTATAATGTTCTACTCTATGCATCTGTTTTGTGTACATATCGAAATAAAGTCATGAATATTTAAATTCTGATTTGAGGGCAAGAAAACGTGTTTTTTTTTTCTGAAATACTAGTTTTATGTCTTATGACAGAGAAGAGCACCCTATATTTAAGTATCGATAAATATAATCGTGAATTGTAGTCGAGTAGTATAGTATATCGACGGATGTGTTGCAGGGGATTCAATATCAGCAGGGGTCGGGATCGGCGCGTAGGGAACACGTCACCACATCGCGGATGACACTCGCCCAGTCGCCGCTGACGACGTACATTGTGCCAACACATAGCTATACACACATTTGTTTCTACCGAAAGATCTAAAATTACATGTGACTGTTGCACTCTTTTTTTTAATCATTTGTACCTGAACGTTGTCCGTTTATAGTTTGAAGCGGCGACTCCACTTAATTGCACTGAGTGTATAACTTGTCTAACTATGACTCCGACGGGTAGCCGTACGAGAGCAGTCGACTTCGTTGCCTCGAGTTAGACCACTAGACGCACATCAGTATGTGGGCTATGAGTACTATGTAACACGGGGTGCTAGGCTTACTGTATTCGTATCGTATATAATGTTAAGACGCACGTTGCATGCTTACGTGCAGTTTCATTGTGTATAACAGATTTGAATGTTCGCTGATTGGCCTGTAGTTGTAGTTTTCACTCGAAACGTTTTAATGACGTGACATAGAAATATTGTGGTCGGAATATATTTAATATTTGCATGAACCCTATCGATAGGTTGTTGTAGATAGTGATATCGATGGTGAGACAACGGTATCATTTGCTGATGCAGCAGCGAAAATTAATTTGGTGTATAAAAGTCTTGATTTCAGAATTATCAGATATAATTTGGTACATCGAAGCGATTTAGTCTCATCTCGATTTAATTACTAACATCATTAGTACTAATGCATGATAAGTTTACAACAAAATAGTATATAAAATTGTATTATTATAACACTGTATTGTCTACATAGATTCAGATTTCACGAGCGAATAATTTGTACTGTTGCAACTCTCCAGTTGTGCACACGTTTGTTTTAGTATTTAGATTGACTGATGCCACTCACTGCTCAACAAAGATTCAGTTATTTAGTGATATCATATTAGTACATACCTGATTTTCTTCACCTGTGTATTAACTAAACTTCTTTTAATATTTCTTAATCATCTCAAAAATTCTCTATGAAAGCATTTAAGAGTTTTCTTTTGCGTTTCCACGTGGCTTTCCAAATGTTTAGAATAAATTATGTGTTAACTATTAATTTATGTAAATTACAAGACTTAGGTGAAATCGAGAATTTATGTCAACTGTGATTTGTGACTGGTTTATTTTGACAAATATATGTGTATGAATTAATATTTATATGTATCTGTGTCTGTGTAGATGTTATTATACTCCTTTGATAGATTTTATGACGGCTAGATATCTGCTATATAAAGTACCAAATAGTATTTTTACGTTGTATATTTGTTTTAATGGATTTGTATGTTTGTGTTGCCCTATCGGTGGGCACTGGTCGCGGCCCACTACTAGTCTGCGTGCGTTCAATGCCGACCCACTTAGGGCCTTATATTATGATTGATATAAAGTAATATTTACGTGTATATTAAATAAAAATAATATTATGTATATGTAAATACATATTGTGATGTATATTATATTCAAGTATAATTGTTATTTTTTTTCTTTGATATGCTAAAAAGTCTGACTTTAAATATTTGTTGTCATTTAGTTTTTCAGATGAGGGGGATCTGAAATTTTTGTAGTTCAAAAGAACGTTAGTCTATTTACAATTATTATATAGCTTTAGAAGTTCAGTGGAATAGTATCATTTTTCGGGGATATAAAAAAATTGAAACATTCCATTGGATCTAAATTTATTTTGGGGCTTTAGACAGATATTTACTTTGAATTAATATTACATGTATTTATTATTTTGTCATATGATTTTTGTTAGGTACCTACACATAATTGATATATAATATTTGTGTACTCGAATAGGTACATCCTCGGTCCATAAAATCCCAGTTGGTTCCTACCCTGAGTCCTATCTAGTCCCATCCCTGTCACGTGCCAACGAAGCCCAGACAACATGTGTATGAATGCGTAATATCTCAAATAGGAACGCGACATAAACTTGTTCAAATTTACAAAAATATTTACTATCTAAGATGTTTACAAATTTTAAAACAAATTCATGTTCACCGTTTTGTTGAAATGTCAGAGGTGTACCAATTATCCGATACAAGCTACTTATTTGAATAGAAATCTTTTCTCTGGTCTCGGTCAGAGGCTCTGCCATGTAACTAAAGAACTGATTGATGTGTTAAATTGAAGTCCTTAAAAATGGCCACCGGTTTACTCAAATATTGATATAGTTTTTTTTATTTTTTATTTACTCAAGCATTTTGTGTAGTGTCCATCTCTACTAATAACTTAGTCATTTTTAGATATTCTTTGTAAACAAATTAATACCAGGCTATTCTCAAATAATTGATTAAAATGGTATTCATAGATTACTAATGTGTGCATTTGTATATTATACTCTTGATTACAATCTAAATTTATTCAATGTTCATAATAATTAATCAATAGAGAACTTCGTCTTAAAATAACCACAAAGTTCTGTAATATATATTGTTTTCGTTCTTTTTTTTTCAGACCGCTTCTTATTGGTCGAATAATTGGTAAATCTCAATAAAATAGTGAAGTTGATATATAAAATTAGCATCTTACAGATTATAGTTTATTTTTAAGTAAAATTATAATGCAATATGTGACAAAATCCTGTCGGGATATCGACTACTTAGTAGCAAGTTAGTGAAATAATTAATATTTAGAAAACCGTCGGTATATGTTGTTTTAAAATGTCTTAACTTAAAAAATGCAAGGCCTATTGTAGTAAAATAGAAAAAAAAAGGTATAATTACAAACAGTATGAAGTTTTCATGAAATAGGTTATATATTTTAGCCAATTGCACAAAGTTGGATTGTTTAACAATCAGTTAAGACTATTACTAATATTGCTAAATTAAAAAAAAAACTGACAGGTTTTTGAAACGTTTTGTATAAAAATCTTACGGGTGGCTCGTAAAGTAACTTAAGATTTTAATCGTAGTTTTTTTTCCTAAAAACGAAATGGTGATAATAGTTTACTAAGTAGTGTGTGTGTATGTGTGCGTGAGTGAAAGAGGCGGCATTCGTGAGGCACTTCCTTCCTCAAGATGGAGTATTGTGAATTATAGTTGTATTGTACGGACGAACATTTGTGATTCATTGTCGATATATTGTAGATTGCGATGCAAATTAGTTTTCTGTTATACATTTAATTACTTATACATTATTCTACAACACTTTATTTATTACCTTTATGATCTATATAATATATTAAATATATATTAAAATATGATGTTGTCGTCGAAATTCATTCTTTTCTTGCTTAGTTTTTTTAAAGTCCCACCTTTCATTAAATACCAGCAAACGTAAACGTTACTATATTTTGCAGAAATTTTGGGCTATTAATCTCTATCTAAGGGTAGTTAGGAGTGATAAACACAATATTCGCTTCAAATGATGTCAATCTTTAAATTTTATTTCAAGATTTTTCTTGCAATGTTATTGTATTCTAGATGTATTACCAGATCAGGTCAATGTTTTTCTGTTACATCATTTTTATCATTGATAATTAGACCAATAAATTTAGTGTTAAATGAATTTAGTTTAAAATTAAAGTACTATTACTATTCTTAACATCATTTATATTTAATTACTATGGACATGACATCGGCGTAATAGTTATCATCATCAGCCTAAATCAGCCATTTTCCCTTTTTAGGTTACTCCCATCCAACCTTTAC